CCATGTTTTGTGATTACATTTCTAATATTTACATATATCACATCATTGTTTATCTTTCTGTAGTTGGACAATTTATTTACTTATACATGTGCATATTTACTGTGGTGCTAAGGACTGCATCTAGAACTTCTTGCATGCTAGGCAAGCACCCTGCCTCAGCTGTACCTGCATGCGCTGATTCCTTTTAGAATGTGGCTCTTTAATATGCTGAGAACAGTTATCACAAAGCACATTCCTATTTAGAGTATTTTTCTGATAGTAAAAACAAACCCTGACATCTATTTTAAGTAGCTCTGGGCAAGCTTGCCTCACCTGGATCTTAGCCGAGGGAGGATTGCTCTAAGAATTCGTGTTTCTGTGACCTTTAGGGGTTTCTCCAAAGCAAAGCAGATTAGGCTCCACCCCAACCCCCCACTCCCTCCACCCTGTCTGAAAAGGAGCAGAGACACACCTTTGCTAGTTTCTAACAATCTTGTTCTCCATATTTCTTCTTGGAGAAGTGATGCTTTCTTTGGTTACAAATTTCCTTTTCTATTTCCATCCTGAACACTTTTTAGTCAGAAATGTTTTTAGTGTTTTGTTTCATTTTGTGGAAAGTTTGGAGGGAGAGGAACATAGGGTGCTGGGTATTAAGAAAGAAAATGCTCTTGCTTTAATTTGGTTTAAACCTCCTCAGTAAATCAAGTCCATCTTTATTGCTGACTGAATGCCTCTGTTGGCCTGTTGAATTTCCCAGACTTGTGTGGGAAACTATTTCTCCTCAAAACTAGGCACATATTCTTCCACCAGAGAGCTAAGGACTAAATTATAATGGGGCTGTTCTTTGTGAGGTTTCATTACTTGGCATCTAGAGACGCTACTAACCTACCTTGTCTCATGTAACCCAGCAGTAAAATGAGGCGTAGACACTAGCATTTATAATGAGTGTGTGTATATGTGTGTGTATGATAAAAATTCTCAGTTTGGCACTCAAAGATCTTCTCAATATTGTATGTGGCTTACTTCATTATTATCCCAATACTATCAGATCAACTCTCCCAGCTCGTTCCAGACTGTGTTGGTTGTGTTCCTTTTTTTTTTTTTTTTAATTCTTCCTGTCACATTGAAAATCCCCCAGGGTCCTTTCCTTCTGGTTGTCAGTGATGACCATAGTCTCTCCAGATATGTATGTTATTTGTGCTCATATTTGCTGTTGCCAAAAGCAGTGCTATTTATATCTATACATGTATACATTTGGGAAATGTTAATTTAAAAATGAATCAGAAAAACATGATTCAGAAGTTATCGGGTAGGAAGACAGTATAAGGGGCAGCCTCTCTGTGTTGGATTTTGTTAGCACATATGCAGTGATGAGAGATACTTCTGGGGTTGGGGAGTGATGTTGGAATTGTATTGCTGACACTTAAGTCACAGAAAATAAATGTTTTCTCACTTTGTCCATAAAGATAGCAGTGTTGAGAGTAGACCTGGCTTGGATGAAGGCTGCTAGAGGCAAGATTTATTTCAGCCCCTGGATGAGTCAGTGATTGAACCTGATATGAGCCCTAATAGCGAAATATGATTATTTTACTAAAATGGAGGTTGTCAATATATATATATATATATATATATATATATATATATATATATATATATATATATATTAGGAGCAAGGAATTGTATAATTCATACTGTACAGATTTTTTTCATGTGAAAATAAAATAGTTAAGTATTATTGGCCCTGTCTGTACCTCACTGTGTATCTACAAAGGGGGAAAACAAACAAACAAACAAAAACAGTTGAAGAAAATTTAGAACCAAGTACAGAAGCAGATGTATGAGTGAATATGTTGTCCTGGCTATTGCATGCCAAGTACAAGGAAATTTAAATTATGAAGCAGTGTGCTGTGCGTTGGGAAACAGGAACATGCAGGGGGGAGGGGGGAGAGACGGATGAAGTGCCTTACAAAGAGGTTGGCACTCTGTGTTCTACATCTGCATAAATGAGACACCAGCTGTGTACTCGAGGCCATTGTTTACCAGGGACATCATTTTGCATTAATCCTCCTGATGGAAATGTCTAAAATGACCCTGAAGTTTGGGGGATGCCCCTGACATATCTGCTTTTTCATCAGAATTTTATAGTGATCTGGGGCTGAAAATGAAATAAAAGCCGACTTGCCTGCCTCCGTCATTTATAATCTTTGTTGGTACGATAGTGTTTATGCTTGTGGGGCCCAGAGGCCAACCTCAACCTTGGCCATGTTTTCAGGCATCATCTACCTTTTGGCTGTGGGGTGGTTGTTGTTGTTATGGGTTTTGTGGGTTTTTTTGTTTGTTTGTTTGTTTGGTTGGTTGGTTGGTTTTTGGAGACAGGGTCTCTCTGGCCTGGAGTTTGGCAAAGCTGCCCACTGATCTCTACCTGTTCTGGTCTCCTTAGAAGATTTGAACAGGCCCTGATTTGCTTTGGTTTTCTTAGGTTTTAGTTGTCGTTGTTTTGAGATAGGGCTTCGCTGTGTAGCCCTGAGTGGCCTGGAGCTCACTATCTAAACCAGGCTGACCTGGAACTCACAGAGTGCTAGGATTAAAAGTGTCCATCACTATGCTAGGGCTTAAAAATTATTAACATAGACTCTGGGAATGGATAAGATCCTTGTGTTTGCAAAGTACCATGGAGGCCACCATTCCCATTTACAGTTTATTTGTACTTCTTTAGATGCCACTTTAGAACTATCATTTTTAAATGTTTCAGGGAGCCGGAGAGGAGGCTTCGCTGCTAACGGCCCCTGCCACCTAACAACTGGAGTTCAGTTTCTGAGGTGGAAGAAGACTGATTGCTGCCAGTTGTCCTCTGGCCTCCACACATGCCATGGCATTTGTGCATTTCTATATACACATGCATGTATGTACATACACACACACAGAAATAGACAAACACAAAACTTAAAAGAACATTTCAAGTGTGTCTTGCTTTCTTAGAATCTAAAGTAGTTGGTGATCTTAGATCACAGACATGGCTGGGCATGCAGTATGAATTGAATAAGTTTGTTTGAATGTTGAGTTATTTCTTGCTGGGGCAATGAAGAACCCCAAACCTTTGTGGCTTTCACTCTCAAACATCATTTCTCAGCAGCATCTGTAGATCTGCTGTGCTCAGCCAGTTCAGCCAGAGCTGACAGTGGTTTGCCCAAGCTGAGATCTTTTTCTTAATGAACCCAGGTAGAAGGGCAGTGTCTACTTTCAGAATGCTCTCTGGGTGAAGCAGAGGAAGATTAAGAGCAACATTTCCTAAAAGGACTTTGTAGAACTCATCCACATTCCATTGGTGGGATGACGAACATGGTGAGATACATACCCTAAATTAAAAGTACAGGAAAGTGCGATGGGGTGTGTGTGAATGGCTGTTGAGCAGAGTAATATGAGCAAATACAGATGTCTCTTTCTTATGATTAAAAAATAATCTATTTAGAATTAGTCAGTCGGACTCAGTTGGAAGCATAGTCAGGAGCCAGTTGGACACTGGCCTCCTCTCCATCAGAACTCATGAGGGTGACATTAGCCATAGCATTGTCACAAGAGCTTCTTTACAGCTGTGTCAGGAGTTCTTGACATCTGTAGACACATGTGTGCTATCTTTTGTGTTCCTTACTTAGGGGAAACTTGATGGTATGTTGTGCCCAGGCTTATGTCTCTTGAGGGCACCCTTCTGACAGTTGAATGGGCTGTTTTTGGTATCCTGGCTGCCTGAAAGGTGGGTGCCACTCACATCTGGTGTGCTTTGTGGCTTCCAGCACAGCTTTCTCAGCCTTTAAAACCTTTGTTTTGGTGATAGCTTTGGGAAGGGCAGGGACTTCACTTTTGGTACCATCTTGGTGAGGTCCCAGATGTCTCTGATACAAAACAACACATTAAAGCAGTAGTTCTCAACCTGTGTGTAGAATCACATGTCAGATATCCTGCATATCACATATTTACATTCTGATTCATAATAGTAGCAAATTTATAGCTAAGGAGTAACAACAGAATGATTTTATGCTTGGGAGTCACCACAACACTAGGAACTGTATTAAATGTTGCAGCATTAGGAAAGTTGAGAACCACTGCATTAAAGGAATTTTTTTTCTTTAGTGATCTTTTAAATATGACATAAAAAGAATCTGGTGGAGAAGAAAGTTTCCAAGGGCTGGGAGTTAGAAGACTTTAATTAAAACTTTAATTACATTCATGGAAGCATCTCTCAGCATTAATGCAGGAAATAGCAGCATCTTCTAGCTTTAAGCTCTGGCTCTCCCTGCTTTCTAGCGTGGACTCTGCAGTGGGTCACATGTACACCTGTGAAATGAGTGCTTCAGTCGCCTGTGGCTTTTCATCACCAGCTCTGCTTTGCACCATCCTGGAACTTACTCCTTTATAGTCGCTGTTTCTGGTCAGGATAGGGGCACTGCAGGAGAAAGGATTCTGCTTCTGTGTGTGCTTTGTTGCTTCCGTGGCATCCCTTAGTAGCTTTCCCTGATCTGCAAAGGGGAAGATTCTGCCACCATGAGTTGACCATGGCTTTTCCTAGCTTCCCCCAAAATGGCTTTAGTACACTTTGTTGATATGATATGTTAGTAAAGTTCCCAAGCTTCCATAGCTTTGTTCTTTTTACAAGATCTAGGAATCATTCCTGCTTGGGCTGGTCCTTGGTGCTCTCTGTCAGACCTGGGAGTCGTCGTAGCGGCTTCCTAGAACTACATCTCTTTACATCTGAGTCATTACTCTTTTGTTAAAATTCATATTATTTTATATCAGGATTTCTGTGTTTAAGTTAGTGTGTGATTTCTGTCTTCTAATTTAACTTTGACTTATAAGTAGTAGTTTTGTTCTCATAAGTGGTTCTGAGGCCAATACATACATGTAAAGTACTTAGTATGGGGTTTGATAGAGTATTTCATCATTGTTGGGTGATATTGCTACTGTCATCATTATCATCATTGCCACCAGCAGCATCTAAAAGTGATATTTCTATTATTTGTCCACAGGATGTTTCGTCTTAACACCCTTTCTGCATTGGCAGAACTAGCTGTGGGCTCTCGATGGTACCATGGAGCATCACAGCCCACACAGAGCAAACGAAGACTCATGATGGTGGCTTTCCTGGGAGCATCTGCAGTAACTGCAAGTACTGGTCTCTTATGGAAAAAGTGAGTGTTGTTTCTGGCTTGATTTACGTCAGAATTTCTTTGCTAAATCATTTGTTATTGATGATGTTGATCTGTGAAAGATTTTTCAAATAGTTGTGCTACCCTGTGGGTAGCTTCAAGCTCTGCCTCTCTTTTCTTGAGGCATTTTTTGCATAGTGATGGTGGGATATCTTTAGAAAATGGATGTTTTCAGCTCAACCTGGTGGTGCATGCCTTTAATCCCAGCACTCAGGGAGGCAGAGTCAGGCAGTGAGTTTGAGGACAGCCTGGTCTAAAAGGACAGCCAAGGCTATACAGATAAAACAAAACAATAACAACCAAAATGGAGAAAATGATACTTTGTGTCACCTGATTATTTTCTTACTAGTTATTGAACCTTCCCTAGGGAAGAAAGAAAACGTAGTGAGCCTGCAGGCTTTAGTTTTCTGACTCTGCCATCCTTTGTGTTTATCTTCCATCTCACTCACCCGGTCTTCAGGTTGCCATCATTATTCTTGTCTCTCCCAAATAGTAGATTTTAAAAATTTATTCTATTGAATAAATATATAATAAAGTGTACCCATTTTAAACATACAGTCCCATGCTTACTAACAATAATAATATAGTTGTGTAATCACCCCCAAATCAAGAAATAGAACATTTCTACCAACATGTAATGTCCTCCCATGCTTCTTCTATGTCAGTCTGATATTACCCACAATTCCAAGCAACTGCTATGCTGATTTCTCTTACTATGGCTTTGTATTTTTGAAATTTGATGTAAGTGGGATCATAAAGAATTTATTTCTTAGAAGCAGGTGTGGTGGCATAGCCTCAAATCACAGCCCTGGGGAATCCAAAGACAGGAGTATTGACAGTTTGAGGGCAGCCTGTCTTTAAAACAAATGTGGCAGAGCACTAACAGGATGCATATTTGGATGTGTCTTTACTTGGCCTAGAGTTTTTGAACTGTATCCATAGACATCAGAAGCTGGAGTTGTTTTGCAATTCAATTGTACTCTTTCACATGGTTGTCAACAGTTCATCCATTTACCAATTGCTTGTATCTAGTTTGTCCTCATTAATTAAAAAAAAAACAACAATAACAACTTTAAATTCATATGTAAGTCTTCATTTCCTTTGGTTAAATACCTAGGAATGTGTTTGCTAGGAAAATGTAAACTTAATTCAAAACTACCAAACCAGGGCAGTGAAGTGGCTCAGAGGGTAAGGGCTTCTGCCACCAAACAAGGTGACCGAAATTGATCCCTGGGACCCACTTGGTAGGAGAAGAGAGGTGACTCTTGGGTCATCGTCTGACCTCTACACTCATTGTGGTGTGCACCTCACCACACATAAATAAGGGTAATAAAATAAAAATTATTTGAAACAAAATAAAAGCCAAACTGGTTTCCACTGGGTCCTCGACAGTAAGCCTCTGTGGACTGGCTGAGCAGCGAAACTTTTCCTGCTCATTTTGTACTAACTGTCCTGGTTAGAGCACACGGTGTTTCACTGTTCTTTGCTTTCTGTTTCCATAACAGCTGATGACGAAGTTTCTTCCCCAAATCAGTAGTCATTTGGCCTTGTTTGTGAATTATCTATTCAGATTGCACAAAAATCAAATTACTTTTAAAAGATTTGTATTCATGTCTACATGTGTACATCTGTGTATGGGTATGTGCGCATGTGTGAGGGGGCCTGCAGAGACCAGAAGAGGGCATTGAATACCCTGATGCTGGAGTTACTTACGGATGCTTGTGAGCCCCACACATGAGTGCTGTTAACTGAATCTGGGAGCTTTACAAGAGCAGTGCATACTCTTAACCCCCACCCATCTCTCCAACCCCAAATTATATTTTTTTTTTTTATCGAATCCTAAAAGCTCTTCCTGGACACAGACTTGGGCAGCCATATACTTAGTGTAAATATTGTCTCCTGGTGAGTGGTGCACATTTCTACCTTTTTCATGGTGTGTCTTTTGAAGAACAAAAACTTAATTTTGAGGAAATCCAGTTTGTTGATGTTGTCTTATAGCTTAATGGGCTTTGATTTTTTTTTTTCCTTTGTTTTTTTGAGACAGGGTTTCTCTGTGTAGCCTTGGCTGTCCTGGACAGCAGGATCCGCCTGACTCTGCCTCCCCAAGTGCTGGGCTGACAGTCATACTGGAATTTTAGCTTTAGGGCTGCCTGTGGGTTAGTTTTTGTGACTGGGGGGGACATAGATTTGGTTTGGTTTTATTGGGATGCTAGGGCTTGAACCTCGACTTTGTGCATGCTAGCAAGCACTGGGTGGTCCTATCAGTCCCTGTGCTTAGTTACGGCAACAGCTGTACTGAAGAAGCTCACCGCTTTCACTGCTTGACTTCTTTAGTCAGTGTCAGTTTTCAGGACGCGAATGCCTTTGCTTCCTTAACTGTTGGCTTTAAGTAGTCTGTGCCTTATCTTTTAGGTTTATTTATATCTCTATTTATTTTTATTCTGCATGAATGAGTGTTTACCTCATATGTATGCACCACATGTGTGTGATGCCCTTGGACTCCAGAAGAGAGGTTGAAACTCCAGCTTGATAGTAATGGTATATCATTAATTTGATTTTTTTAAAGTCCTGTATTCTAATACAGAAATTTAATACTGTCTTCCACACAGTATTTTAGCTGTGTCTCACATATTTTAATTTCTTGTTTTCACTCAGTTCATACTATTTCTTAGTTCTTATTATTTAGTCCTTATTTCACTAATTAGTCATTTGGAAGTCTGTTCTTAACACTTAAAAATATTTAGTGATTTTTTTTAATGCTTTTATTTGTTTTGGGTTTGTCTATAGCTTAATCCACTGTGCTCCAGGAAATAATTGATAGGGTTTTATTTCAGTTTTGAAACAGTCTTTCTATAGAATAGAACTCGTAACCCAGACTGCCCTCCAGCTCAATTCCACCTACCTTAGCTTCCCCCTGATGTTCTGATTATAGGCATATACCTCTATGACCACACCCAGCCCCTCTTTCATTTCTTTTTATGGTTGATTTTTATCTCTGGCAACCACTTATAAGATACAACTCTTGTTTTCTCTCTCTCTCTCTTTCTCCCTCTCCCCTTTTTTCTCCTTCTCTCTCCCTCTCTCCTTATTTCCCCCTCTCTCTTTTCTTCTTTTTTCTTTTCTTTCTTTCTCTCTCCTTCCTTCCTTCCTCCCTCCCTCCCTCCTTCCTTTCTCCTTCCTTCCTCCCTCCCACCCACCCTCCCTCCCTCCTTCCTTCCTTCCTTCCTTCCTTTCTTTTTTCTTTTTTTTTTTTTTTTGAGACAGGGCTTCTCCTCTTTGTGATTTTTCCAGAAGCAGGACTGAGAAGCGTTTTCCTAAGGGGTGGCTGGCTGTGTAGCTGGAAGAGGTAATAAGCCTCATTTCCCTTCACTAACTCTTGAAAGTGTTAAAGAAAGGGGCAGGACCAGGCATGGTGGCACATCCCTTTAATCTCAGCACTTGGGAGGCAGAAGCAAGTGGATCTCTGTGAGTTTGAGGCCAGCCTGGTCTATGCGAGTGAGTTCCAGGACAGCCAGCCAAGATATGTAGAGAGACCCTGTTAATAATAATAATAATAATAATAATAATAATAATAATAATAATAATTAATAATAATAATGGCAGCCATTGTCTTTAGTTGTATACTTGGCTCTAAGTCCAAGACCATGCAGATGTCCCTGGTTAAACTCAGTAGGCCCCAACACAAAAAGATATGAAGGTAGGAAAGGAACTTCCAGTAGGGAGTTGACAGTAGTGGTAGGGGCATAAGAATGGATATAAGTGTAGTGAAAATGCATGAAAAGTATGAAACCGTCAGAGAACAGTATATGCATGCATGTGTACGTGTGTGTGTGTGTGTGTGTGTGTGTGTGTATGTGTTGGTCAGAAGACAGCTTACTAGAGCTGGTTCTTTTCTCCCAATTGCCAGGGATTGGACTGAAGTCATCAGGATTGGTGACATGTGCTGAGCCATGTTGCCAGCCTATGGAATTCTAAAGGAGAAAGACTTTTGCGCTTACCTACACAATTCCCATTTTTGGTGTTCTTCTTTCCTTTGTGTTGGCTACAGTTCTTTTTCTTTCCACTTAAATTTGCCTTTATTTGCAACTTAACTTTTTTGTGCAGTGCCAACAATGCAAAAGTGATGGCTGGTACTTGTATGTCTTCACTTGAACATGACTTTATTTAAAAGGAAAAAAAAAAGCTTGGAACTGGTAGAAGATTCACTGTGTTGCAGGGATAGATATTCTCTGGTTTGTGCTTTAAATTGAGAGAAAACCACGGGATCACAAATAAATCAAATTCTATAGTATAGTTAATATAATAATATTATAGTAATATAATATAGTTAATAAAATAACATAATAATGTTTCAAAATATGCTTGTAGGAAACCAATTGAAACAAATCACACCTCTGCTCAGCCTGTGGGTCTCACCTTGAGGCAGAGTCCCTGTCTCAAAAAACTAACCCAGAAGCTATCTCCAGTTGACAGCTGTCACAAAGGAGGAGCCCCCTCTCAGAGGGGGTCTCACTGAGAATACAAATCCCACTTAAGAGCAGACCCCATGCCCAGAAGTAGATGGCCAATACAAAATGAACTCAAAGCTATTTTTTAATTTTTTTGGAGGGGGGTATCATTACTTTGTTTGGGCATTTTTTATCTTGCTGGTCTTTTGCTTATATGATTTCTACTTTTGTGTTTTTATGGGTTATGTATATGTGTATATTTCTCTGCTTTTTCTTTGTTTTTTGCTTTGTTTTATTCTTGTATGCTTTTTTTTTTCTATTTGCCTGTTTGTTTTCTAAAGAGAGAGATAGAAGGTGTAGAATTGGAAGGGTGGGGAGATGGAAGACCTGGGAGGAGACGAAGGAGGGAACCAATGTCAGAACAGTTTTGTTGACTTGGGTGTGATGGTGTACACCTTTAGTCCTAGCACCTGGGTGGCAAAGGTAGGCTGATCTTTATGAGTTGGAGGCCACCTGGTCTAAATAGTAAGTTCTATGATAGCAGGGACCCTGTCTCAAACAGACAAACAAACAAAACAAACAAAAAAGGATATATAGTGTTTGGAGAAAATTATTTTCAATAAAAAAGAGAATCTGGAAAACATACTCTTTCATTACTCTAGCATACTAATAGCAGCACACTTTTCCTCTCCCTCCACCCTCTGTGACACAGATGAGGACTAATAGCAGCACATTTCCTCTCCCTCCTCCCTCTGGGACATAGATGAGGACTCCTTGTTATAGCAAATAAAAATGAGTGTCAGGCTATAATGTTTATTATTGGACCTATAATTATTGTGACTGTATTATTTAACCAGCTATCACAAATAATAAGACACAGACAACTGTTAGATTTTATAATTGCCATATTACTTTGTGCCAGGCTACCTATGTTGTCTTAGTAACCTCACCATTCACCTCCCAGCCCCCATCCAAATGCCACCTGGGCTACCTTCCATCCATAATCTTACAAATACTGCTTCTATTTTTATTTTGGTGTTTTCTCCATCCATGCCATCCTCAGAGTCCTCCTCACCCACATGGTTTCTTCTCCACGATAACCCATCATGGTGTCCTTCCTCCTCTCTTCCCATCTATCTGTCTCCCATGATTCTCCTGTCCTCTAAAGCCTGGGAACCTTAGCCATGTCTACCTCCATTCTGCCGTCCAGGTATAGGCCATTTAATCAGCCAATCAGGGTTTACACGACAAGGATAGTTGTACCCAGGCACTTACTAGATCTTGAGGGTCAGCCACTAGCATCAGTATATAAGCATCAGACTGATCCCCCAACAACTCCTGTTGGTGTTCCTTTATCAGTCACACACATTCTGTTTCTCATTATTAAAGGTACTGACAAACTTAAAAGAGTACAAATACGACATTAGGGGGAAGTGTCTTTGAGGTGTTCTGATTTGGTTTTTTGAGACAGGATCTCACGGTGTAGCTCTGATTGCTCTGGAACTTGTCTTGCCACGTGGATCAGGCTGCTCTGAGATTTCTTGAGATCCTCCTGCCCCAGTGTTCCTGTGTATATGCCACCACATCTGGCAGATTTGACAGTGTGGGGTTTATGAAAACAGCAGTGGGTCTAGGGAGCTAATCAGTGGTAAGGGCCTTGTCATGCCAGTGTAAAGACCGAGGTCTGAGTCCCAGAACTTACATAAAGCCAAAAATGGAAGCACATTTACAATCCTGGAGCTTCTACTGCAAAGTGAGAGACAGGCCAGAGACTCCCCAGAAGCTTATGCACCAGCTAGCCGGGAGTGTGTTCAGAGCCACAAACAACAAAGAGCCCTTTTCTTTTTTTCTTTTCTTTTTTTTTTTTTTTACCCTTGATCCTGTTTTGTGTTTATTTTGTGGCAATACAGAGTCCAATTTTTTTTACATTTTACCTATTTTTTTTACCTTTTTATTTTTATTAATTACAGTTTATTCACTTTGTATCCCCTCTGTGGCTCCCTTCCTCCTTCCCTCCCAATTCCACCCTCCATTCCCCTTCTCCACTCACGCCCTTCCCTCAGTCCACTGATAAGGGAGGTCTTCCTCCCCTTCCTTCTGATCCAAGTCTATCAGGTCTCATCAGGAGTGGCTGTATTGTCTTCCTCTGTGGCCTGGTAAGGCTGCTCTCCACTCAGGGGGAAGTGATCAAAGACCGGGCCAATCAGTTCATGTAAGAGACAGTCCCTGTTCCCCTTACTATGGAACCCACTTGGATACTGAACTGCTATGGGATAAACATAATGAAATCTATACACCTAAAAAAGATAATCAAGAGAGCAGACATGGAGTAAGATTATCAATCCTCGTTTTGAAAGACAGATGGGATGCGCATTGAACATTGACAGGAGTCTGCTGAGCGCATTTGAAAGACTCTAACTAGCAGTGTTTTCAAAGCAAAGACTCATGACCAAACCTTTGGCAGAGTACAGGGAATCATAAAAAAGAAGGGGAGTTAGTCTGATGAGGAAAGAGCCCTTTTCAAACAGGTAGAAGATGAAGATCATGCCTGAGGTCCTGAGTGCTTGCACTTCCATATTTACATGTACCTATCACACACACACACACACACACACAGAGAGAGAGAGAGAGAGAGGGAGATTTTATTACTTGTTTTTAATGTTTTTATTCTACTTCTATTTTATTGCTGTAAACGTACATAACATTTCTCATACTGACCATTTAAAAACATATTTTAGTTATATTAAGTATATTCTCATTGTGAAATAGGGCTTCAGAACTTCATCTTATAAGAATGAAGTGGTATACTTATTAAAAAGAATGAAATGGTATATCCACTGAAAAGTAAATGAATTCTCATTGAAAAGTAAAAATGAAATGGTGTACTCATAGAAAGCTAAAAATGAATGATATAACTGCTGAAAAGTAAAAATGAAGTGCTATACTCATTGGAGAGTAAAAATGAAATGATATACTCATTAAAAGGTAAAAATAAAATGATATATCCATTAAAAAGTAAGAAGGAAATAATATTCCTGGAGTTGGAGTGAAGATGCAGAGTGTAAGAACAGCACTGAAAAGTAAGAATGAAATGATATACCCTTTGAAAAGCAACTTTCTGTGCCCTCCACTGTCCATCTTCAGAACTTTGCTCACCGTTATAACCTGAAACTCCTGCCCATTAAATAATAATGTCACATTCCTCATCCTGTTCTATGATGTAACTATTTTGGTAACTTATGGCAATGCAGTTATATAGTATTTGCCTTTTTGTTCCTAACTTACTTAAGCTGCTGCTTTTGCTTCGAGTGCATGTATGTAACACAGTAGGTGGTGAAGGGTGTGCCGGGTATTTTTTTAGGAAGTTCTTCATGTAGGAATCTTGACAAATATGATTGCTGTTCTGCTAAGCTGTATATCTGAGTGTTTGTTAATGTGACAAAGCTTTGTGTTTAATCTAGGCTTTTCTTTTGCATCACCAGGGCTCATGCAGAATCTCCGCCGTGTGTCAATGGCAAAAAGACTGACACTGATGATAAAGGGAAGAATAAAGATGAAGGGGAAGTCTGCAACCATGAAGGAAGGTCTGCAGATGCTGAGGCCGAGCTTAATCCAGAAGAGAAGAAGAAGAAGCGCTCTGGATTTAGAGACAGAAAAGTATGGAACAGTTTTGCTAGTGAATCAGAACCATGTCCTAAAGGGAGTCGGGCTGTCTCCTGGTCTGCCTTTCAGATAGGTCACAGTCACTCCTGAGTTCAACTCTTTACTAAGATTGTAAGCCAAAGGTACACTGGTAGTGTGAAATGTTATGTGACAGAGTTTTCCTGGGATTCGCAACATACACAAATACATACACACACATACCTACTCGGAGATGTGTCTCTACTCAGAGACAAGAGAGCCCACAACAGACCAAAATACAGACATCCGCAAAAGCTCACTTAATGAACTAGTGTGTTTTATTAGGGTTATTTATAGGACCATGAGTGAGGAGTTGCATACAAGAGTAGAAATGACTCAAACACAGATGCATCACCGCAGCCCACCCAGCACAGGTGACCTTTCACACAGCTGGGAACCTGGAGCACATTGCATAGCCTACAGGCAACTCAGTCATTTCCAGGTGCCTCATATGGCCTAAACCCTGCCAGGCAGCTCACCTAGTTTCTTTTTCTTTTTTTTTTTTTTTTTTTAATTTTATTTTTTTCTTATCAGTTACATTTTATTAACTCTGTATCCCAGCCGTGTCCCGATCCCTCATTCCCTCCCAGTCCCTCCCTCCCTCATCTCCACCGTGCCCCTTGCCAAGTCCACTGATAGGGGGAACCTCCTCCCCATTCATCCGATCCTGTTTTATCAGGTATCTTCAGGACTGGCTGCAAAGTCCTCCTCTGTGGCCTAACAGGACTGCTCCTCCCTTGGGGGGTGGGGAGGCCAAAGAGCCAGTCATTGAGTTCCTGTTAGAAATAGTCCTTGTTCCCCTCACTATGGGAAACCAATTGGTTACTGAGTTACCACAGGCTACATCTGAGCAGAGGTTCTAGGTTACATTCATACATGGTCCTTGGTTGCATGTCAGTCTCAGAAAAGACCCTGTGCCCAGATATGTTTGGTCCTTGTGGAGCTCCTATCCTTTCCTCATCAGACTAACTCCCCTTCTAGTTTCTTTTTCTAACAGGCTGGTTTGCTGGTCTCTGCTTCTTTGTAGCTTCAGCGGCTGGTCTGAGAGTAACTCTCAGAAGTCTTTACTGAAGTCTTTACTTTGTACTCTTGGGAGGGAGGGGCCTAGTGAACCTGGTCAGTTTCTGGAACTTCCTAGAGCTATTTTGAGTTTCTTACCTTCTGTCTTCAGGAGCTTCTTGCAGGGTGGAGTGTTTTTCCATCTCAACTACTATACAAGGTGAAGGCAGAGCAGTGTCTGGGGTTGGTCTTCAAGATGAATATGCTCTTTTTTTCTTTCTGGGTTTTCCTTTTTTTTTTTTTTTTTTTTTTTTTTTTTTGAGACAGGGATTCTCTATGTAACCTTGGCTGTCCTGGAACTCACTCTGTAGTCCAGTCTGGTCTCGAACTAATAGAGATCCACCTAACTCTGCCTCCCTCCCAAGTGCTGAGATTAAAGGCGTGTGCCGCCACCACCTGACTCTGGGTCTTCTTGTGCTTCACCTTATCATAGCTAAACTGAGTTTGTGATATTTCTGGTTTGCTATGTCAAATTGTGAAGGGAGAATAATATTTGAAGGGGATCGTACAATTCCCAGAAATCCAAGTGGTTATTGACAGTGTGATCTGTGACCACAGTCTCGTGTACTGCAGCTTTACCTTAGAAAAGTTTCAATTCCGCTGTGATAATGCCTGTGCCTTCAAAAACCTGAGTTCCTCAGGCATGAGCAATAAACACTCTGAAGGGTTATTTCTCTAGGCAGCTTGCTTGTTCAGATTAAAATTCTCACTTTCAGCTGCAGAAATACAAATGCTACAGCAGGTCAAGTTATTTCCCATGTGCTGTCATGTGTGTCTGTAAGAATCACTCCTTTGAGAAGTACTACGACTTTTAGATGAAATTATACATATATCTTGTCAACTTCTAAACCCAATTGTGACTGGGGTGAATTTGAACAAAAGTTGTATATCACGGTTCCTCAGGTATCCACTGAGTTCTGCAAATTCACAGCTCAGTTTCATTTACACACTTCCACTTTAGAAACAGTCAAAAGGCTCAAGTCCACATTTATTAACCTGCCTCCATGATAGCCTTCCACTTCTTCCCTAGCAGATGACAGGGCCTCCTGCTTTGCAGTGATACTAAGGCTATCAGTGCAGTTTATGAATGTTAACTCCTGGAGCTGTAAAACCTAAGTGATCTAAGTCAGGGACAATTCTTGCTTCTTCCCTAGGCTCAGAGAAGAGCAGTCTCCTCACCTCTGCTCAAGGGTAGCCATTGTGCATGTCATTTCCCAGCATTCCTTCCCATCACTAACTCATGGCTCTGTTTCTTTTAGATTTTTCTCAGTCACTATTTATTATTTTAAATAGCATGAAGACATGGTAAGAATTCTTCTGTCTGTAATTTAGCACTCATAACCACATTTTATTAATACCAAATTTATTTTTAAACAAAATACACAGTTTATAAAAGCAAAAATTACAAAGTGTAAACAAATACATCTAATAAGACAAATGAGATCTTTTAAATAAAACCAAAAATTTTACTGAAACACTTCTTAAAAAAAACAAAAACAAAAACAAAAAAAAAACCAAAAACTAGAGCTGTGGAGATGTCTCAGTGAGTAAAGGCACTTGCTGCCAAGCCTGGTGACCTAAGTTTGATCTCTGGAACCCGAACCTAAGTGGTGAAAGGGGAGAACAGATTCCTACTAGTCATCCTCAGACCTCCACATGTACATTGTGGCACACACACACACACACACACACACACACACACACACAAGCCCGAGGACACATACACATAAAAATAGAGAACTTTGTACAATGATTATTAATATTTTCTATTGATTCACATGATTATTAAGGTGACAATTACTTCTTAACTGGTGTATATATAAATAACAGACACAGAAACCTGTTAGATTTTTAATACTCTTAAAGTACTGTAGCATGGTAAATATTAACCCCCTAAGCTATCTCGTCTACTTCCCAGCTAAAACCCCCATGCTACTTGCTTTAATCACTCCTATCTGGGGTGCTTCTCATCCAAAATCTCCATAAATACTTGCACATGTTTTCCTTTTGAGCTTCTTCTGCTCCATCAGGCCAGTCCTCACAGGAAGCTGCTCTCAGCCATGTGCTTTTTGTTCATACTAACCCATGGCAAAGTGCTCCTTTCTCTCCTTCCCCTCTCCTCATGCTTCTTCTCTGACCCCCAAGCCCAGAAACCTTGGCTCTGCCTGCCTCTCTTCTGCCCAGTCCAGGCTGTAGCCAATTATTAGAGATAATAGGGGAGGCGAAGTTACACTCGTGAGAATGTGGTCATCTGGGATTTAAACAGATCTTGGGGCACCAGTAATTAACAATTAAATACATAGCACCAGACCAACCCCCGAGAGAACTTGGTGAAATATTGTGTGATACACTATATATTTTTTTAAGTTGTAAGCTTACTAAAAGCCATCTCTACTACTATTCTGAATGCTGGAGTTTGCATCATTTTAAAAGATACTGTATCTCTCTGGAGTTCTTGTTTGCCTGCCATGTTTGAGACAAAGCATCCTTATTTCCTAAGCAGTTGCTGTTTTACCATAAAGAAGTTCTCTCTTACTTGGCCAGAATCTCATGTATAGCTTTTAGCCACACTTTACTTCTGCTTTTCATATATGATGTCTGGATTTTGCTTAAACTGCTATTCTACAAAACAAAATATATATGTGGGGTGCCACAAATTGATTGAATTTTGTGTGTATGTTTTGTTTCCGTCTCTTTTTTTTTTTAATGATTCTTCTGCCTCACCTCCTGAATGCTAAGATTGTTTGTATGACACCATGCCCCAATACAAAGTAGATTTTTATAATAATTGCTTCCTTTTGTTTTTTTTTTGGAATATATAGAAAACTCAGCAATGTACTTTAATCCAATTTAGCAGAAAATTGTTAGACGTTGCATTTTCAGATTGGCAACGAAAGCCATGCATTTTGGACCTGGGACATTGCCTCCCCAGGGAGAGTGTAGCTTGGTCATTATGTGTCACTGTAATTGGTCCTGATCAAGCACAAGTCTTGTGTGGACCAGTTGTACCAGCCTGGCCTTTCTTTTGAGGAAGCCTCAGGGAAACCCTAGTTTATGCCATATGGCAGGCAGAAGTTAATGAGCTCGGTGGCATCTGGGTTGTGTGCAGTTGAACAGTGTTTTTTCCACTGAGGCAGAAGCAATTTTCACCCTACTCAGGACAGCAGCCTCTCAGTGGGGACATTCCTGTACTGGCAGCGTTCTTCTCAGTCTAGGCCAACAGTTGATCTGCTTCTCTTGCTGTGTTTCTGGTCCGTGCTTATCAGCCATGCTTACATAGGAGCAGTCCAGGTGCTGCAGCTGGTGGAGTGGAGTGGAGGTGTTTGAAAGGTGTTAAGCCAATAAAAACTCAGGGACTTATGGGTTTCATGGCCTTTTGATCCTCTACCAGCAGGGCAGGAGCTTCTTTCCTTCCCTTGGCCATCTTTCACAATTGTGGGCAGTGGAAGAGTGAGCTCGTTCACTTTTGTCACCGGAATCAAGTGTTCATCTGGAGATGTATATCGTTTTAGCTTGCTCTTTTAATGTTAGCTCTTCCACCCCACATCCTTGATGCTAAGGATTGAACTTAGGACCAAGCATGAACTCTGTAATCAAACTGTTTTCCCCAAACCTAATGATATACATTTTAATTCTTTATATGCAGGGGACAGGCTCCAGGCTGTTTAACTTTTAAAGTTTGGTATGGTTGGAGTTTATTGACACTTATTTTAAGTGTCATTCAGTTCCTCCCATCTCTGTATTACTGAAGTGTTGGCGGTTGGACTCAGACTTGTATGTGGTCCCTGTAGCCACATTAGTGGTGATATTTCCTGTTATCAGTAAACATGTAATATCTGACTCTTTTTTTCTTCTCCTTCTCCTTTTTAGACAATTTATTTATGTGTGTTTAAATTTATTTCTATGTGTGTGAGTGTTTGATTGCATGTATGTATGTGCATATGGATATGCATGTGTGCAGTGCCTGTGCAGTGTACCAGTACAAGAGAGTGCCAGGTCCCTGGAACTTACCTTACAAACAGTTGTGAGCTAGCATGTAGTTGGGAATGGAACCCAGGTTCTCTGAAAGTGCCCTTAACCACTGAGCCATCTCTCCAAACTCTTATTTTCCTTTTAGCACCTATTGATAGTCAGTATCTTGTTCTTTCTATTCATTGTGATCTCAAAAATAACACTCTAATTTCTTTTCCTCCCCCTCCTCCTTTTCCCCCTTTTTTGATAAGGTGTCTATCCTGGCTCCCTCTGGCTCCCTGTGCAGCTGGGGGCAACCTTGAGCTTCCAATTGATCCTCCTGCCTCCACCTCCAGGTGCTGGGACTAGAGGCAGGCTCCACCATGCCTGGCAACTCTTTTTCATTTGTTGACGTGAGTATTTTATAAAGAGAAACCATCCCTCATCTGTTTGGTTTTAAGTCCTACCCATTGGTGTAGGCCACATAAGAAAAGTAACTCCTGAATTTGATCCATTTACACTCAGCAGTTTTATGGAAGATACATCTTAACATAATGACACTTAAGAAAGATTGATAAGGGTAGGAGCAATGGCTCAGCAGTTAAGAGCACTGGCTGCTCTTCCAAAGGTCCCGAGTTCAATTTCTAACACCCACATGGTGGCTCAGAACCATCTATGATGAGATTTGGTGCCCTCTTCTAGCATGCAGAAGAACATGGAGGCACAACATTGTATACATAATAAATAACTAAATCTTAAAAAAAAAAGCAAGAGTGATAAATGACAGAATGAATTATTATAATTTTGTTAGTAAACCTATGAGCATCCCTAGCTCCTTATAAGTAAGTAGCCTCTCACTGCTTCCAAACTGTTCTCTTGGATTCTGTGTTTTGAATTCCTTCCGTAGTAATTTGGTGAAATCACCAAGTCACTAGAAGGAAGCAGCAGTTGGTGTGAAACAGGCTCCAGAATATGATGCTAAGCTAGTGTGTGTGTGTGTGTGTGTGTGTGTGTGTGTGTGTGTGTGCACATGAGTTTATGTGTGCATGTATGCATGCATGTGTCCACATGTGTGACTGTGTGTTCATGTGTGTGCTCGTGCGTGCGTGTGTGTGTGTGTGTGTGTGTGTGTGTTAAGTGCTACCAACATGTTCATACTGAATGTGTTACTTTTCTGAACCTATTGCTTCAGAATAAAAGTTTATAGCCACACAGAGCCACTGGTTTATATATTGATCCTCTACCAGCAGGGCAAGAGCTTCTTTTACAGCAGCTGAATAGTGCCAGGCCCTTATCCTGGTGCTCAGGCAGGCAGATCTCTGAGATCAAGGATGACCAGGGATAGACTGTGACCCTGCCTCAGAGAAACAAACAAACCAAGAAATACTGTACAGAATGTACATACTCAAATTGATAGCTTTCTGTAACATGATTGAATGAATCTGCAACAATCTGGAAAGCTAGTCTTCAAGCTTGAAACCCCTAACCTTGATCTTATCCTCCTACCTTGAATATGATTGATAATAGTTCATAAAAGCTGCCTGCCCTAAACATTCCTAACTCCTCTCTCTCTCTGCTCTCTCCTCCTCTCCTCATCCCCTTGTCTTTAAAAAAACTAGAAGAAATACAAATGGGCCACAGGAATGTTATTTCTTCTCTAGCCAGTGTCACCAGCAAATAGGTGTCAGCTAAGGTGCAATGCCTTTGCTCTAAGTCCTGTTCAAGCCTCAAGGCTGCACAGAGATTGGATAACTTTTGCTGTGTTTGCCACATGCTCAGTCTTTTAGTATTCTATGAAATCTTAGATTTGAGGGTTTTTTTAAAAATGTATTTTATGTATTTGAGTGTTTGCTTGTGTACTGTGTTCATGCACTAATCCCAGAAGCCTGAAGAGGGCATCAGATCCCCTGGAACTGGAATTATCGAGAATGAAAGCCACCTTGTGGGTGCTGGGAATTGAGCCCTAGTAGTCTGGAAGAGCACCAAACCTCAGAGCCATCTTTTCAGCTCCCTAAAATCTCAGATTTTAATGCAAGTTATCATTGAATTCATGTCATGTGGAGTCATAAGTTGGCAGATTGTTCTCAGTCGCAAACCACATTTGGTTGTACAACTAAAACCATTGTTGAACAGCTGCTGCTAATGACCTGAAAGTGTCTATTAAGGGTTGACACATACAATAATTGCTGTGTTAATTGAAAAAAGTTAACATATCGATAATTTTGAAACTATTACCTGCTTTATAGACAAAGAACTAATGAGTTTTTAGCTTTTATTGCATTGACACATTTTTATAAGATACTTCAGCTTCCAAAACTCAGGGATGAAGGCCTGGGATGTAACTTACTTGGTAGGGTACTTGCCTAGCATTTATGAAGCAGTGGGTTTACTACCTAGAGCTTTATAAAGTACTGGGTGTGGTGGTGTTCACTGTAATGCCTGCATTTGGGAATTGGAGGCAAAGGATTGGAAGCTCAAGGTCTTTCTCATCTACTGAATCAGTCTGAGGCTGGCTGACATACTTGAGGCCCTGTCTCAGAATAGTGATGATGATGATGATGATGATGAAAAATATCGTTCAAGTATTAGAGACTTTTTCCCATAAAAACACTGTAATTGGTATAGTATTTTATATGTTTTATGGGTGAGTGAGCTGACATACTTTTAGTTAATTGTAGCCGTGCTTGATTGTCACTTGTCCTCAGACATTTGTACTCTGCCCTCTGTTCCTTTTAGATACACTGCATGCACAGGCTTGCTGGGAATTTGCCCAATAATGAAGTGCTCCTGGCCTACTAACAATTGAGCTTCCATGATATACACTTTAATTTTTCTATGTTATGATTTCATGGAGTGATATACACAGTCCTTATGAGGGCTGCTAACCATCCAAACCTGTGAAGTTTCAAGTCTGTTTTCTCTTAGTTAGTATTCAGGAAATTCCACAGAAAGTTCATCCCATTTGGAAAGTTAGTATTTATGAGCCTGCAGCAATTCCCTGTTACTAAGGCTTTTTAATTCTTTTTAAATTTTGCTAGCTTTCAGTGACTAGAAAAAAATTTTTGAGAGCTCTAAAAAAAAGTTCTACTAGGGTATGAATGATATTTTGTAAGAAAAAAATTTAAATTTTTTTTTTGCAATTGAGCTTATTTATTAGAAAGTTCCAACTACAGAGAGATAATCAACTTATTTCAAAAATAAGTTGAGCGATATGAGAGAATCGATGAACTTGAGCACAGCTTACCATAGTAACATTCTGTGATTTTCTCATTTTAGGTGATGGAATATGAGAATAGGATCCGAGCCTACTCCACACCAGACAAAATTTTCCGCTATTTTGCCACCTTGAAAATAATCAGTGAGCCTGGTGAAGCAGAAGTGTTTATGACTCCACAGGACTTTGTGCGCTCCATCACACCCAATGAAAAGCAGCCAGAGCGTAAGTTGCTAGCATGGGAAGCAGGCTTGGGGTAACTGTTTCTTATGGCTAATTTACATCCTTCTCTGGACTTAGTAACATTCATGGGTCCAGCAATAATTTAAAATCACTGTTTGACTATTGATGCTTGGAATTGTGCTCAGCTTCTACAGTCCAGTGTGTGTGTCTTCTTTAGGGGAACTAGCTGAGATAAACAGTGTGTGGAAAGATACGGCATCAAAGTAAACAACTAATTTAGGACATACTGTAAGGAAAATTATTGGGTAGGGTGCTCCAAACTTCAGACCCTCTCTTGGAAGAGCGAGACTCAATGTTTTTGTGATCTGCAGTCTCATCAGTGTGCAACCAGGCGAGTGCTTACTACACAGTGAGGCTGCTGGATTTGGGTGACAGTGACAGCACTGTGCTCTTTGTGCCTCCCACACTGTTTTCCAGCTCGGAGGTGGCCACAGGACAGCAGTCCTGATCCTGGGGTGGCTGATTGCCTGGGAGGGAGGGAAGGAGGTGGCCAGCGCAGACCTTGTTCTCCAAATGTTTACATTGTACGTTTTGAGTTACTCAGCAGTTTTCCATCCTTACTGGCTCCAGCATTTAAAAAAAAAACTGTAGGAGGACATGACAAAGCATGTAATTTTTTTACAAATGCTATGGGAAAGTCCCTGAAGGACTAGTGACTGCAATCTAACAGCAGTTGAATCCCAGGGAAGAGAGCGTCTGATTTTTTCCTCAGTATAATAAAAACACCCAACTTTAACAAGAAATTACACAGCCATACTAAAGAACAAGAAAGCTTAATCAGTTAACAGGAACCAAAGAGCTTGACAGTAATTATCCCTGGGTATACCCAGGTAGGACACCTGTGGTGGACTGCATGTGGGCAGTCAGAGGTCACAGAAGAGCAGTTAAGACTTCTCCAGATAACTGAAGCTTTTTGTTAATAGAACTGTCCTACACAAAGAGTCAAAGGATATACTTTATATTGGCATGAAAGGACACAACACAGCAACTCAAAGCCATACAAAGAAGAAAACAGCACTATAAGCCAAGCATACTTTTAAACCAAAAATGGTTGGGCATTTGAATCTATGATCTATAATCCAAATGTTCCAAAATCTGAAGTGTTTGGAATGTCAGTGTGACACTGTGAGTGGATAATTCCCTATTTGACCACTTGTGAATTACAGTCAAAACACCAGTGCACAAAAAAATGTCATCTAAGATATTAGTGGGCTGTGTATAGGGCGCATGTGAAACAGAAGTGTATTGATGCTAAGTTCTACGTTCTTCTCCACTCAGTTCAGTGCCCAGTTCTGCTACACAAACTGTGGGGTTTTTTTGGAGGGATTACTGATGACTGCAATTTAAGAGCAAATGAACCCCAGGAAGGAAAGACACTCTATACAGCCTTGGCTATATAGCGTGGAGAGCTGAATAACTCACCTTCATTTGGGTTTTTTTTTTCCCTCTGTTTCACCTCCATTTTTCTACACTAATCCCCTATGCCTTTCAGCAAGCCTGAACAAGGCATCATTTCCCTATGGAAGAATGCTGGTCACGTGTGTTACAGAATTTCTCTCCTCTGCATTTTACTGGTTGTCCCCTACAATGTTTGTTGTGTTTCTTTGTCCTCAGTGTTTTATCTATCTAAAAAATACATAGAAAGTTCCAGAAAAGGACACTACCAAAATAACTATGAATGTTGAAATCAGAAGGACATATTCTATTCTTTTTCAAATGTTCCTGTATTTTCTAACAAGCTTCTTATATATTCATTCAAGAAGTATTGAGTTGCTTTCTGCTCCCAAAGAGTTTTATAATAAGATACACTGTTTTATTAATTGCATTGAATTTTAGACATAGAGTATTTTTAAATATCTATATTTATTTATTTAATGTGGATATACATATCAAAGAATAACTTCAGGGAGTGGTTTTCTCATTTCGCCATGTGAGTCCTGGGGATCAAACTCACGTGGCCAAGTTTAATGACTGGCACCTTTAGTCACTGAACCATCCAATCCAAGATTTAGATCTTTTTAAGCTGGCTTCAGCAGCTTGTTTTGTGACATATGAGGGAAGAAGCCAAGACGGCTTGTATGCAGAAAGAAAGGGGCTTGCAAATATAAACAGTTTCATGCCTGCATCCAGATAAAAATCTCATTTCTATCAGTAACTTTAAAGAATGTAATTTTCTTCCAGTATGACAATGAAAATGAACCAATACTTTAAGACAGGCCACCAAAGACTGTTTCCTCACTTAAGGAATACTGTTTTTATTCCTTTTAAAACAATTACATTTTCTGGTTGCCTTCAGATACCTGCCATTTAACTTTGCAGCACTCCGCCGTTTGCTTACTTGTTTTTGCTTTGGTGGGAATTGAATGCAAGGTTCTCTGCATGCCATGTAAGCACTCTACCGCTGAACTACATCCCTAGCCAACTCCCCTTTAATTACTGAAAGATGTACTATGTGAACCGAGTAGTTACTGAGAATGCAGTACACCAAGCACTCTCCTCATTTTCATGGGAAGCTAGAATAATGAATAAGTGCTTTTCTTGAGGGAAAATTCTGATACGTGAAAATGAGATCTAATGGGAAATTGGCTTCGTTTTCATTTACTCGTTAGCAAGAATGTTGATAACAGCAAAATAAAATATGCTGCTCCTGTGTGAGGTAAAATGAAGAAGAGTAAGGCAGTAGATTTCTATAGTTTAAATTTCTGTCTTCAGTTGGTCTCCAGCCAGCTGTTCCTGTTTCAACTTTGTTTTGTTATGACTTCACACATACTATATCCCAGGATACCCAGCTGATCTAAATCTGTGAGTTTTAATTTTAGAACTATTAAAAATAATCATGAAGCACAGACTACATAAGGCCCCCTAATTAAACAATTTGAAATGAACTGATGAATTTCAGAGTGAAAAGGTGAATAAGAATACTTCTGTATTAAATACAAAAATGTATATATAGAGGAAAGCCATAGTTAAATGTAAAGCACATTAAAAGGGGAAAAAGAATATCATATGCTCCTTGAACACATCTCAGCTTCTCTATGGAGTCGATGTTGTCACCACCATCCCTGGACAGTGACTCAGGTGGCTGCTTCAAGCTGTGGGTGTGAATGGCTCTCACTGTCGTAGTAAAAAACAGTTTTCACAGGCATGTTTGCTCACGCCTTTAATCTCATCACTCCGCAGGCAGAGTCAGGTGGATCTCTGAGTTCCAGGACAACCAGGGCTACACAGACAAACCCTGTCTCCAAAAACCAACACCAAAATCAAAGACATTTCTCACAGTCATTCTATGATGTAGGTAACCAGAAGCATGAGATGGGATAAAAGTTCTATGAAATAGGAGTTTTGTGCAGAACACAGCATACACTATGGCAGAGAGGGTCTCTGTTTCCTTTCTGTTATATCAGCCCATCTGACTTCTTATCTTGTGAATGGAGAAGCAGGTCTCACTGTATCATTCAGGTATCCTGGACTCCATGTTCTCTTTAGGATCACCCTTCACCATTTAAGAATATAACCTAGAACCTCTGCTCAGATGTGGCCCATGGCAGCTCAGTCTCCATGTGGGTGCCCTAGTAAAGGGAATAGGGACTGTCTCTGACATGAACTCAGTGGCTGGCTCTTTAATCACCTCCCCCAAGGGGGAGCAGCCTTGCCAGGCCACAGAGGAAGACAATGCAGCCAGTCCTGATAAGACCTGATAATTTAGGGTCAGATGGAAGGGGAGGAGGATCTCACCTATCAGTGGACTTGGAGAGGGGATGGGGGGGAGATGAAGGAGGGGCCTACAGCTGGGATACAATGTGAATAAACTGTAATTAATATAAAAAAATAAAAATTTAATTAAAAGAATAATCTTGCCTATAAAGAGCACTTTTATAGTGATATGTATTTTATACTTGATCCTTACAGTACTGTTTTCCATAGAGTAGAACAACTGCAGCCAACTTCCTTATTCCTTTTTTTTCTTTTTTTCCTTTATTAATTACACTTTATTCACTTTGTACCCCCCCTGTGGTTCTCTCCCTCCTCCCATCCCAATCCCTCCCTTCCTCCACCCTCTGCATGCATGCCCCTCCCCAAGTCTACTGATAGGGGAGGACTTCTTTTCCTTCCTTCTGATCCTAGTCAATTAGGTCTCATCAGGAGTGGCTGCATTGTCTTCTTCTGTGGCCTGGTAAGGCTGCTCCCCCCTCAGGGGGAGGTAATTAAAGAACAGGCCAATCAGTTCATGTCAGAGACAGTCCCTGTTCCTATCACAATGGAACCCACTTGAGTACTGAACTGCTATGTGCAGGGGTCTTAGGTTATCTCCATGCATAGTCCTTGGTTGCAGTATCAATCTCAGGAAAGACCCCTGTGCTCAGATTTTTTGGTTCTGTTGTTCTCCTTGTGGAGTCCCTGTCCTCTCCAGATCTTACTATTTCCCACTTCTTTCCTAAGATTCCCTGCACTCTGCCCATGGAACCTTCTCCAAAATAGACCATATAGTTAGCCACAAAGCAAGCCTCAACAGATACAAGATTGAAATAATCCCTTGTATCCTATCTGATCACCACGGACTAAAACTGGACCTCAATGACAAAAAATAGCAAAAGGCCTACACACACATGGAAACTGAACAACTTGCTTCTAAATGACAGCTGGGTCAGAGAAGAAATAAAGAAAGAAATTAAAGACTTCCTAGAATTCAATGAAAATGAAGGCACAACATACCCAGACTTATGGGACACCTTGAGAGCAGTGCTATGAGGAAAGTTCATAGCACTAAGTGCCTTCAAAAAGAAATTCGAAACATCTCATGCAAGCAACTTAATGGCTTACTTAAAAGCCCTAGAAAAAAAAGAAGCAGACACACCAAAGAGGAGTAGATGGCCGGAAATAATCAAACTCGGGTCTGAAATCAATAAATTAGAAACAAATAAAACAATTCAAAGAATCAATAAAACCAAGAGCTGGTTCTTTGAGAAAATCAACAAGATAGACAAACCCTTAGCCAAACTAACTAAAAAGCAGAAAGAAACTATCCAAATCAACAAAATCAGAAACGAAAAGGGGGACATAACCACAGACACTGAAGAAATCCAAACAATAATTAGGTCTTACTTCCAAAGTCTATATACCACAAAATTTGAAAATCTAAATGAAATGGACAATTTTCTTGACCGATTCTACATGCCAAAGCTGAATGAAGACCAGGTAAACCAATTAAATAGTCCTATATCCCCTAAGGAAATAGAAGCTGTCATCAAAAGTCTACCATGCAAAAAAAAGCCCAGGACCAGATGGTTTCAGCGCTGAATTCTACCAGACCTTCAAAGAAGAGCTAACACCAATACTCTTCAAACTTCCTCATTCTTTATGGCAATTTGTACAATTTGTATGTTTTTAAAGGGGAGGAGGAACACAATAATATTTGACAACAATTAAAAATTATAAGCAATTCAGATTTCATTGTTCATAAGAAATTTTACAGCATAGCACTCATTTCTGTGTGGAAGTCTTAGAGCCAGAAGAGCAGAGTGGAGTAGTTGTGATGGAGACTATAAGCATTCGGCCTATAAACCTGAGTATTCATTTTATGTTCTTTCAAAAAGGAACTTGGTATAGAGCATTTCATGGGAGTTAAACATGGGATGCCTGAGTATGTGTGTCTTCACAAAATTAATGTGTCATATAATAGTTTGGAAAACTAGTACAAAGGTTTAAAAATCTAAGCACTTTTAAAACAGTACAAGCTTTTGAAGACACTTAGAGCCATGATATGCTATTGTATAGGAGATAGTCACAGGTAGGCACAGGGTCTCACTCTGTAGGCCAGGTTGGACTTAGAGCAAAGTTGGTTTTGTTTTAAATACCAAATAGTAAATATTTAAGGCTTAACAGACCCGAAAGGCAGATAGTAAATCCTACTCTTACCTCTGGGGTTCTAAGGAAAAAGACACAGTGAGGAGGGCTGTCGCTTCCCACACTCTCCCTTCTGTGAATTCTTTAGGCTTGAGTGATGTCATAACATGCAGTGAGGACAGTATCTAAGGAACTGTTGTAACTACTGAGCCAGTGCTGGAGCTTTCTTAGTATTGTGATTAGCTCAACCCACAGAAATGAAGGACCTCACAGCCTTTGGTGAACATGGTTTAAGGAGAAAAGTGGTATAAGCTCAAGTTAATTTAGAAGGTCTGTTGAGGTTGTAGATATAACTGATGAGTCATAATTACTAAAGGATGCCACTACTGGACTTACCAAAGCAGATGGGGAAAAGCCCACAAGGCCTCAACCCTACAAATAGAAGTATAGGCAACTGGGGAGAGCTGGGAGCAGGAAAGGTGATCCTCCTCAGGGAAGGGCACACTAATTGGTTGTCCAGTGCCAAAAGGTCATCCCTGAGAACATACATATAAGTAACATAGTCTGAAGAGGTTATATTTAGGAATATATATGTATATACATATATGCATGCAATAACAATTAATGAAAAAACAGCCATAAATATGGAGGGGAATGGGGAACATTATATGGGAGGGTTTGGAGGAATGAAAGAGAAGGGGAAAATGTGGCAATTAAATTATAATCTCAAAAAACTTTAATTTTTAAAAGCATTGAGTTTAGATATGTGACCATTGTGGCCAAGATTTATTAAGGATTATCATTTTTTTTCTCTCTGTGTGTATTTATGTGTTTATATGCACATATGTGAGCATATTTGTGTGCACATGTTTGTACACATGTAGACACCAAAGTCAACTTTGCTCCATCCACCTTACTTTTTGAGATAGGTTCTTGTATTAATCTAGAGCTGAAGAGTTCTGCCAACTGCCTCTACTTCCCCAACTCTGGGATTACAATCCTGTGCCACCACGCCTACCTTGAGCATCATAAATCTCATGAACTCTGCATACCAGTTCAAAGTATCAGACTCACACCCGAGGTTAAATATGCATGAGATATTGCTGAAATCTGAAACTTGATTATAAAAAGATTAGCACTTAAATTAAAAGCCAAGAAGTAGATGATTAAAGAATGTGAAAACTCACAGAAGATAAGATAATCATTCAAACTCTGACTGAAAGGTAGACAAGCTGTGACATTTAAGATTATGCTAAGACCCTTAGTGTTCCACATGCTTTATAAAAATTTGGAATATTGAAATTTTATATTCTACAATTAAGATATCTTGTGTGAACCCAGAAAATTGACTTTGTCTTATTGTGAAAGGTCTTGAAGTTTGTCACAGTTTACACATTCTGACTTTATTGAATGGCTGCTTATGATAATGCTTAACAGTCTGGCCTTTGAATAAACTAAAATTCGAAAACTGCTGAACCTGTGTGTAAACGTGCTGCCCTGCCGCTCTCCAGATCGCACATCCCAATAGAGATGGTGTGGTCACTGGCCGGCCCTGGTGACTTTCATTCTGGGGTTGTATGTCCTCCTAGTTAGTTGTCTAAGGAGGTGACAGAGGAGAGACTTGAACTGAGGATGGCAGGGTGCTTTGGAAGAGGCATGGACCTCATTCTTGGGCCTTTGATTGTGTCCTGTTTAAGAGCTTGCCATTAGCTTAGGTTTAGAGCTACCATCCTCTTCCCCCCCATTCTTAGGTTTTCCTGGCTGCTTTGTGGATTATTTAAACATTTTTACTGTATTTTATTTTGAGTGATCTTTTTGTGTCTTGACTTTATTTCTTTGAATATATTTAGTGATTGTCATGGGGATTATCCACACTTCTTACAGTGTTCTGTGAGAATTTGCTTTTACCACTTCAGGTAGAATAGATGGCCCACCACAGTAAGGCCTTCTCCACTTTATGTTGTGTATATCCTCTGTATATAAATATTGAAAACTCCACCCCAAACCGCTTATGTAAAGAATTTAAGAAAAGACAGTTCTCTCTTTTCTCTCTCTCTCTCACACACACATATGTACACAGAGTGAGAGAGAGTGTGTTGACTGATGAACCATTTCCATTGCTCTTTTGTTCTCTAGTTCCTGGTTTTTCTCCACTGTCATTTCCTGTCTCTGAGGAGCTGGTCTCCTGCACACGGAGTCACCATTTTCCTTCATCTTAGAATGCTTTATTTTGTCTTTATTCTTTAAGGATATTGTCACTAATAAAAGGAATGCAGGATTGGAGTTCTTTACTTTCAGCATTTGAACCAGTTGCCTCAAAGTTTTTTTCTTTGTCATTTTTTTTAGTAGTTAGATGTTTTTTGCCTTTTTAAAAAATTCAGTGTGTGTGTGTTGTTGTTGTCATTGTTGTCTTCTCTTGTTTTGTAGGAAATTGAAAATTAAGAGGGAGATAAACAAAGCTTTAGTTATCTTTGTTGCTTTCTATTCTGTTTGTTTATAGGTTGGTTGGCTGGTTGGCTGGCAAGCTAGCTGGCTGGCTCTTAGGCTGGTTGGTTAGTTGTTTGTTTGTTTGGGTAGTTGGTTGGATGGATGAATGGATGGATGTATGGATGGATCTTTGGCTGGTTGGTTAGTTTATTAGTTTTTGAGCTGGGGTATCATGTAGTCCAGGCTGGTCTTGAAGCACATGGGGATCTGCGAGGGCCATGAGCTCTGGGAGTAGAAGCAGTGCCCATTTCAGATGTGCACCACAAGGCCTGACATCAACTTATATTGTTGAAGTTTGTTCTGTCTTTTTAAATAATGCCATTTTGAATATGTTGATAGTTCAAATTAGAATTGTTCTCAGATTTTCTTATCTTTTTTGATTATGTTTGCATTTGTTTGTTTCCCAGAGGGAGATGTAAGCATCCTTCCTTCTAAGGTTCCAGTGACAAGCCAATTCTTCCAGAATTCACAGAGTTTATAAGTTTATTGGACTTTCCTTGGAGCGTAAGTGAGAGATTAGTTGCAGAGGTATGGGCATTCCTCCCATCCCAACAGGCCATACTGGAAAGCCTTTACTCAATAGGGATTAGGGTTTTCCCATAGCCACATAGATCGAGCCCCACTTTCCTGTCTCCCCTGGCTTATATTCTTTAGCACCTTCAGGAGGCCATGTGTAATTAAGGCAGAGTTGCATATAACAGGTGGTAAGGAGAAGCTGGAGGCTTAGGTGATTGTCTCCCCATCCTCCCTACCACTCCATAAGAGGACATAGACAGTCAACAATGGGGTAATCCCATTGCTGGGTGTGCAGAACTCCCAAGATGGCAGTTGCTTGGCTTGGAGGACAGCTACTCACAACAGTAACCAAATTATTAGAAGCAGAGATGCAAAACAAAGCTTCTGATGTTCATTAACTAGTGTGAAGACATGAGACTAGAGTGCAGACTGATGCATGCACCTTTCACACAAGCACTGTGCTGTTCTGATACGTAAGCAAAGAGCTGGTGTCTGTTTGCCAGCATTTGTTCTTTGAGTCTGAAAATGGGGCAAAATAATCATTCCTTTGTGGCTTTGGATGAATATTGTAGCTAAGTCATCTACTATCCTTAAGTGAATAATTTAAAACAAAACTGAATGCCACCATGTATTTCTGGTGAGTTATAATCAAAGACTAACTATTTTTTCCTCTATTTTGCAGACTTGGGCCTGGATCAGTATATAATAAAGCGCTTTGATGGCAAGGTGAGCAAACTGGTGCACAGATGTCCTAAGATGTTTTACTAACAAGGTTTTTGGGTTTCTCTAAAATCATCATGACAGACCTGTGAATATTGTTTAGCTGCTGAGGAAAGTGTGTTTAGGTTTGGAGACCTGGGTCTTCAGGAGATCCTGCACAGGAAATCAAGTGGAGGTTGGGGGCTTATGGGTTTGTTTGTTTGTTGTTTTGTTTTTTTAATGTTTTTCCATGTAAGGTAACTCATGGTTTGCTTACTCCATATATTAAGGCTGAATTCAGTGTTTGCTGACTTTTGAATATTAACACAAAAGTCGTCATGAACACTCCAGTATTACAGTCACATTTCACGTTGAACCTTCTGACAATTTACGACAATAATCCTAACTATAAAACCACAAGGATCTCTATAGTGCTTTTATTACAGTTATGAAGAATTCTCCCAATTTGCATGTGTTTGGATTGTACTTTCAATACTTTGTACCTGATGAAGAAATCATGTTATACTACATTCTTAGGCACTAAAAAGAAAACTTTCAATTTTATTATCTCATAAAGGTGTCAGCTCAACATGGTTTTGTTTTGTTTTTTCTTTCAGGATAAGTTGTTCAAAAGGAAAAAGGAAAATGTACATAGGGTCAGAATGAAAGTAATGGTCAGTTTTTAAAATATTTTTAATTAAAATAAAATTATCTCATTTTCCCTTTTCTTCCTTTCTTCCAACCCTTCCCATGTACCAGGCCTTTCTCTTTGTTATTGTGCTATGTGTGTATAAATTTGTACACATGTAAATACAGTCTGCTGAATCTGTTGAGAGTTGCTTGTATGTAGATGATTTCAGGGCTGACCACTAGGAATTGGATAACCAGTTACCAGGCTCATCCCTGAGGGATGACTGAATCTCCTCTCAGCAGTTCTTTGTATGGATAGAACTCCTTGAGATTTCTCTCTGTGAGATGTCTCCCAGTGAAAGCACGCCTCTTGGTGTGGTCAGTGTTCAGGTCTTGTTTAAGCAGCTATAGTGTTAAGATACAGTAAGTATAACTTCCTTGTCATTTCTAGGAGACACAGCCTCACCATGGACTTCCTGCTCCTCTGGCTCTCGACAATCTTTCTGTACTCTCTTCCATATTATAACCTGAGCCTTTTGTGGGAGTTGTAGATGCAGCCCCTGGGTCCAGGCAGGCTACAGTCAGTTGTTCTCTGCATTTGACCAGTTGTTTTCTGTCGATCTCTGTCTGCTGCAGAGAAAAACTTCTTTGATATGGAGTGAGAGCCATGCTTATCTATGGGTGTGAAAATAAGTATGGAAGCTGATTTTATGGTTTCAAGGAACAGGCTCTGAACGAGAAAGCATTCTATAGGAATTTGCTTTGCTTTTTAAATAGGCAGTTCTTTCTCAACGTCTGTGTCTGTCGTTGTTTCTGTCTCAACATCTTTTGGAAGACATTCTGCTATGAAGTGTGTAAAGGATCCCATCTTAGTTTCCCTTAAAGAAACAAAAGCCAAAACCATGTAATTCTGTGTATAACAAAGCCCATTTTCTGATTGAATTGTATGTTAAGGTTTATGTCAGGAAAAGCCAGAACAAATATAAAATAACATTTTCTTGGGAGTGTTTTTTTATTTTTATAGAAATTTCATAGACCTTTTACATGTGAATCAGAAAACAGTGGCTCATTTGATACTGACAAATATCTGTCGTTTTTACTCTTCTGTTTCATTAACTAGACATTACTGTTAAGTAAATGTTTCAGCTGGCCATCAGTGAAACTGAATTTGATCAAGCAGATTTTGCATTTTGATGGGAGCCTTTCTCCAGAGCCCTTTACTATCTTGTTAGTGGGCTCTTGTTTTTTTTTTTTTAAGATTTGCTTGTTTGTTTGTTTGTTTGTTTATTTATTTAATGTAGGTGAATGCTCTGTCTTCATGCACAACTGCATGCCAGAAGAGGGCATCAGACCCAGGATAGATGGTTGTGGGCCACCATATGGTTGCTGGGAATTGAACTCAGGACCTCTGGAAGAGCAGCCAGTGCTCTTAACCATTAAGCCATCTCTCCAGCCAGGGCACTTGGTTTTTAAGAATGCTAATTCTTGTCTTTGGATAAAAGTTACAGAGCACACCAGCCTCTTTTATTACCTATTGCATTTCAAAGCTGTCTACTCAGAGGTCTTGAGTAAAGAATGCTGACATTTATTGCTAATGTTGCTTAAAGAGTATGTTTCATAAATGAGTGATATTTTTAATAGTCAGACTAAGACTAAAAGTTTCAAGGCTTCAAGTCTTGGATGGCTTCAGATTTTTTCTGATGCTCTCTTTGAAAAAACAAAACAAAACAAAACAAAAACCCTTTTGCAGTGTTGGTATCTGACACAAGTGCACCACCAACTGAGATGTGCCCAGCCTTTTCAAATCATTGTATAAATAGCTTGTCTCAGTGGGTATGGGTGCTTGGCAACAAGCTGAATGACCTGAGTTCTCTTCCCAGAGTCCACTCGATGGAAAGAGGACCAACTCCTACAGGTTGTCCTCTGACCTCGACGTGTATACCATCCAAAATATGAATTACACACATAAAACAATAATAAATAAATATAAAAATTTCATTTAAAAATTAAGTACCTAATCAATAATTTGTCAGTACTATTAGAAATATGACAATATAGCATATGGAAATATGTCATAGGTTTATTTTAGTACTCCCCTCCTAATATGCATGTATTCCCCTAAGATTTGTTAATGTAGCCATTTCATCACTATACATTATTTTTTATTAAAAACCATATAATTTTTATTTGATGCTTTTAGCGTCTAGTGATTGGCCTGTAAAATGAAGTATTTATTTGCAAGTGGAGCCTTATTTGACAGTAGTGTTTTCCTTGGTATGACTTAATTCATATGGTGTGTAGTCCTTGTTTCCCATTTTGTTCTACTCCTTTTTCTTGGCAATCTAAATACAGAAGTTGTGCCCTACATTTTCTATTCCTGTGACATGTTGTAGGCAGTGATCTTGGAATCCCATGTTTCCTTCAGACATCAAAGTGGAGAACTGCATGCTGTAGATGAGATTATTCCCTGAGCAGGGGTGCAGGGATGCTGATGCTGAGCTTTGATGTCACCCTGGGCTTCTCTCCCAAAGATGATTAAGTTCTTACCCTGTTTCCAAACACAGCAACAGCAGGTTCCCATTGAAATGGACTCTCCATTATCACCCCATGTCTCATTCCTCTCCCCTCCCCATCTTTTCAACCTTCCCTTTCTTCCCCATCTCCTTCTTCCCTATCTGTCAGTCTGCCTGTTCTTGTTTTTGATGGGGATTGTACCCCTCCTGCGTATAAATTGGATGTTCTACCACTAAACTGCAATCTCAGCCCCAAAAAGCTCTTTAAACATTATTGTCTGTCACTGGATTCCCTCTCACTCTGTGGGCGTCTTCTTCACTCAGTTGATTATTTCCTCAGCTGTATAGAAGCATTTTAGTTTTATGAGGTCCCACCTGTCAATTGTTGGCCTTAATATTTTCACCTTCCCACTTTTGAGAGACTAAAATCAGTCAAGTCCAAAATCTGTTAATATATGTATTCAGGTCTTACAGATGCTAAATACAGACAAAAATAGTCAGAATTTTAATATTTTTGCTTCTGATTTATATTTTTGCTTATGTTAATGGGAAATTTTTGAAAAAGGAAGGAAGGAAAGAAAGAAAGAAAGAAAGAAAGAAAGAAAGAAAGAAAGAAAGAAAGAAAGAAAGAAAAAAAGCCAGCTTCCAAAACAATGAATGAGATTGTTCAGTTTCTTGAAGGCTCAAGGTCTCATAGATATTTCAGTTAGATATTATTAGTATGAATGAAAAATAAAGACATGATGCTCCTAGGTATGGTGGAAGAGAAGGTTTATTGTAGATATGAGGGATAGCACAGCCAGAGGCATTTGGAAGGGTCCAGACTGTCATGGCCATGAGAGAAGGGGTGGTGAGAATAAGAGAGTAAGAAAGGAAAAAGAGGAAGTAAGAAAGAGGGCACCTGGTAACAAGGGGTACCAAGCAGCCAAGATGCCAAGAGTGAGCCAAGAGGATGTGTAACCCAAATGGCTGGGCCTTATAGGAAAAGAGAAGCAGAAAAGGGGGGGGGGGGGGGGAACTCAGGGGCTGGAAAGGCTTAAGGTAGGGGACAGGGTATGCCAACCAGGATGGTCTATAACATGTATTTGTAAGTAGGGACTGAGGGAGACTGGCAGCCAGAGTCCACTCTTGAAAGTGTGTTTGAGCTGTCCTACCTCTGCCTTCCAGATAAAGCACAGTTAGAAACCAGTAGTAAATGAAAAAAATAAAAAATATTTTCTTTGAGGAAAGAAAGTACGAGGTATACAAGCTTAATAGCTGGATTTAAAACACCAGAATCAAGTTCACCTTGTCATCATATGATCAATTGGCATTTTGCGAAGTATTGTCTGTCTTTTTATTGATGCTGTCACTCTTAAAGTGATCCATGTGGTGTGTATTTGAGAAACTGGATCTCTGCTGATTGCAATCTTGCTTTTTGAGTAAAATGCTGTTTCTGCTATGAACAAAACCAGGTATTTTTCTTTCCAGTAATAGGACTGGTTATGATAACCTTTTCTCATGAGCCAAAAGTTCAGAGTGTAATTGAACGACTGCAGTGGACTTAGGTGCTCCATCAGCATTTCCGGAAATCCTTTGGGCTGGTGGTGTAGCTGTGTGGTAGAGCATGTACTTGAGCATGGGCATTGCTCTGAGTTCAAACCCTGATACAAAAAGGAAAAAATGTTATTTCTACTTGCTAAAATTTACATTTTGTTTTTCAGAGATTTCCCCATCTTCTTTTCTACTATTTTAAAAATCACTTTCAAAATCTTTTCCTGTTTTTTTTTTTAAATTAACTTTAGTTATTTTTCCATACAGTATCACTAAATAATGAATAATAATAATGAAATCTAGCTTTGGTATATGGACTCTTTATTTTCCAAGGCATTTATTTCCATGATG